ATGCCACGCGTAGTCATAATCAATCTGTATGTCAAGCGACTTTTGATAGGTGCCTTTGCAAGCTGAACAAGACTCAACATCCCTTTGCATGATCATACATTTCTGTTAGAAATGCAATACGCTCATTCAAACTGCCATCAACATATGGAAGGTATTTGAAACTAAGCTCCTTTACGACTGAGTCGTCATTGAATGTAATTATTGAACCCGAATCTTGTTGAATTGGTAAATAGAGGGGAATAACATCATTAGGAAGAGAAGGTCCTATTGTCACCAAAATTCGCAATATATTGATGACCACAGAAATAACAGTGATCCGATCTGTGACCTTTCGGAGGTCGAATTGAGGTGACAGAGTGACTAAACGACTAGGTTTCGATGCGGCCTCTGGTGTACCGTCAATAGCATAGAAGCCGATTTTCCATCCAGCCACAGCATAGCAGATAAGAAATTGTTGATCGCCAAAAAAAAGAGGATCGAGCTTATCGAACTTATTCGTGAGGTCACCCAAAGCTTCCTGAAACATATTCTGAGTAGCCTTCTCCTCGCCCTTGAGTACAAGAACGTTTTTATGGTGAACAAGGAAATCTGGCCGACAAGTACCTACTGTCGTGGTCGTCCACCCCCTTAAAATGCAAAGTAAATCAGAACACAAACTGTAAACACAGTGATGCCAGATGAAAGCTTACCTATCTACAGTGTTACGACGAATCATAAGATCTAGACTCCCAGGCACAGCATTACGATTAAACAGACGGAGTGTATCTTTGATCAGACAATCTATGATGTGGTGCACATCATCCTCACTTTCAATGTCCGAGACATTGTCATTAAACTGTTTACTTAACGCTACAGAAATATGGTAAGCCAAATCACCATAACGATCGTCTTCATTTGTATAGATCAATCCCACAAGTTCGGAGTCCTAAAAATTGGTAAATAATTCACTATTAACGCAGGTAGTCACAACACATTGTGAAAGGCTGATGTCAAACCTTTTCCTCCTCGTTCCTGGACGCTGGCAGCTTGCAAAGAAGTTGTGAATTTATTAAAGGTTCGAGTTGATCTGCACGGGTTGGGATCGTTTCAAATTTAGATATTAGTTTTTGACAAATGGTAGCTGTTGTATCAATACGGGGTCTCTTCGATGCACGCTCGCTCACTGAATGCAACAACACAACAGAAATTAAAATTATACGTAAGCTCATTCCGTAACTGAATTTACACACTACCCTATGTCCCCAACGCCCAAGTCACAAAGTCGTTACCTGCTGCCCTCGCTTGCCGCAAGTCTTCACGACTCTTCAACACTTCATTACTCCACTTCGCAACCTCCGCCTCCAGCCCCTTCTCCTTCGCTGTGAGTTCATCCCATGCCCGCTTCTCCGACTCGTCAAATCCTTCTTTTCGCCGCAGCTTCCCCTTTAACTCTGCCAACCACTTCCCTTCGTTCTCGTCTTCCTTAAATTCTTGCAATGCCCTCTCCGCCTTCTGCTTCTCCGCCTTCGCTTCCTTCAACTCTTGTTTGATGTCTTCAATGCTTGCCATTTCTTTTGTTGTTAGATGGAGAAGATATGCAGCGCGCGATGCGATCTAATACCGTAATATACTAATGCTGATCAGTGGCTTAATAAATGACGTAAGTATTACGTACATCTTTCACAATTGTTGCGATTGTCCATTGTATGCAGAGTGACCAATGATAATTGATGCGCAGCAACGCGCATTTTGTCTATTTAAGCATCATTGCAAGATTTTATCATAGAAGCAAGCACTAGTCGCTTACTTTCACAAAGCCAACCGCAACACAATAAATTTCATAAACAAAACATATCAAACAATTCTATAAATAACGCTTTGCGAAAAATGTTTACATTCACAAGTGAATTCTTTCTCGGAGCATTAATTGGCTTCGTTCTCGGCCTGTTGCTATGTAATTGTCGGCCTAATATAAATAATATGGAAGCCTTAATTCAAACGATGAAGTTGCTACCCATAACAAAACTGTCGGCAACGAACAAAATTTACTCGCCAGAAATCGAAAAATTGTGGAATGATCTGAAACGATTATACGACGAAAGGATTAAATTGGATCCAAAATTTTCATTTTATCAAATGGCCACCGAAATCTGTGAATTACGCGAAGGCAAAGGCATTGCTGCCACCCCATTGAAGGATTCTTACAAACAAACACTAGAAGCTATTGAAGAATGGATTGATAAAAATAAAGAAATAGACGTTAACAGTAATGAAGTGTAGTATAAATTGCACCAGAGTGACTAAAGAATAGGTTATACTCATAAATGGCTTTGGGTCCGAGTATTTTCCTCCCATGCAATCACTCTGGTGCATTTACGATTATTTATATTTCGAGAGCGCGCGTTTAATAATCAAACTAATAAATTTATGCTTACGAAAAATTGAAACATTTTACGTTGTTTGACGTTTTTATTGCAATTGTGTTAAAGTTCAACGGATGCGCTTAAGCAGTCTTTTATCATGACTATAAAAAACGATCTTTCGTTGATAGGTTGCTCGATCGGTGAGATGCCTTGTGTGAAACTTTGGGTTAAATTACTTACGTCTCTTCTAATTTTCGTTTCTTTCTTGGTTCACCATACGCTGATGTTAATGCTCGTTTATTGTTTATTATTTTTCTTTCTTCTTGGTAAATTTCATAAGTAATTTTTTCTTGATCTAGATATTCCTGGAGAGTTTGGGTATTATTGATTTTAAAAACGTATGGAGCAATTTTTTCTCCCTGAGCTTTCTTTAAAATACTTCTAATTGTGCTGTAATTCTTGGGTTCCATAGTGGATTTGATGTAAATTAGTTTCATATTAATATTTTTATATATAGAGGTAAT